ATTTATCTTTAAATAGTTGTAGACATCCCAGATCTCTAGCATCAAAATGAATTCAGAAATACAGTAAAAGGAAACAATAATGGTGAAAATAAGGTTATTTTAGGGAGCAAGGGTGGTTCATTATCCAAAAATCTACAACATATTACACAAAATTTAAAACAGAACACAATCATCTGACTAGGTGGATAAAACACATAAAATTTGACACTTGTCCTTATCTTTTTTTTAGAGAGAGAGATTTTTGCTGTACGGTGCATGTGCACGTTGGCAGACAGAGAGACAGAAAGTGAGAAACCCCCCTCCTGGGGGAATGGCCACGCTATAATCCCTTCTCCTCTCGGAATTTTGGGCATGCACGCACACATGCCTAGTGTGAGTTTTAAGCCACCAGGTCTGGGACTTGAACCAGAGTTGCCTACATAGGAGTCCAGCAATGTAACCATTTATGCCATCTGCTGGTCCCTGTCCTTATCTTTTCTAACGTTGTTTTCACTTTACGATCATTATTATTTAATATTGTACCAGAAACTATAATCTACTTAGTAAGAAAAGAAAAATCAAAATGCAGTATAGAAATAAAAAGGAAAAAACTAATTTTATGTGTATTTAATATGATTAAATATAGAAAAATGTAGAATACTATAGACTGCTTCTTGCATTAGAGAAGGTTATTTATTGATGTCTACTGTGAGAGAGAAACAGATATAGACATGTCCAACAGGGTCCCCATGCCATGATCCACCACCAATGGCCAGCCCAACTCAGCCACGGTGGCTAGACGTGAGATCAGCTTCTAAATATGAATAAGTAAAAACCTGTTTCAACATGTAGTAGAAAGAAGTCCTATTCACAAAAAAAAAAAAAAAAGATAACGTGGATGAAAATGAATCAAAATTATATCCAACATGCACTCACTGAAGAACAAAGAAGACCAAGAAGACCTGAATAAAGGGCAGACGCAAGGGCAGTGGCACCGCGGTAACGCAGCCCCCTACCACGTCGAGGCCTGTGGAGAGGAGCTGCGTTCACGTCCCAGGCCCGCGCTGAGCCTGCCAGGCACACATGCATGCCCCTGATCTCGGCTGGCTGAAACTGCACGTGAATCGTCGCATGGAGACCCTGGTGGAAGTGCTTCCGTCTCTCTCTCTCAGAAAAAAATTAACATTTTCAAAAAAAAAAAGGAAAACAGAAATATATGACAGCTGTAACTAATAAATGTAAAAATCTATATACTTTGACCCAGCAATGAAATCCTGCGTATACATCCTTGAGAGAGACTCAGAATGAGCCTGCCTATAACAGAGGAAATTTAGACACGACCAAAATTGCCATCCAAAAAAGAATAAATTAAAATTGGCATATTGATAGAACAAACGTAATATAGCAATAAAAATGAAAGACATTTAGTTATAATCTAAATCTAACAGTTTTTGTTTCTTCTTTTTGTTGAGGGGGGGGGAATCTAAAATATTTTTTATTGCCATGTGGCCCTTGCACTCTCCTGAGCGAGAGAGAGAGAGCACCCCCCGTAGGGCATGGTCACGCAACCCCCTTCCTCCAGCTCCCCTTCCCGTCAGGATTTGGAGCATGCGTACTCACTTGCCTAGCACATTTTCAGGCTGATGGGCCCAGAACTCAGACCATGGGGAGACCGTGGGGTCTGGCTTTCACTGCACAGCTATCAACCACTGCTCCATGCGGCCGGCCCTTTGAAAGATTTTTGAATAAAACAAGTTGCAAACTAATACGTAAAGTATAATCCTATGTGAAATCCATTTTAAAACATTCAAAACACTGGGGCCAGCGAGTGGCCTGGTGATTAAGATGCGTGGCTGACCGAGGTTTGAGCCCTGGACCTGGCAGCCTGAAAGTCACATCAGGCACGTGCGCACGTATGTCCAAAATCCCAGGAGGGGAGTGGAGGGAAAGGGACCGTGGGATGACCATCTTCCCAGGGACGATGCCTCACTTTCCTGCTCCCTGACTGCCTCTCTCCTCTCGGGTGAGCACACAAGCCCTATGGCAAAAACCTAATAAAAGCAAAAGAAAAAAGGATGTGGCCTCCTGTCTAAATTGCTAGTGTTCAAACTTCCCATGAGATTTAAAATGAAATCCAAGACATTAGATAGTTATTTTTGTAAAAGCGTATTTAGTGGTACTATAAAGCACGCATCGGAGCAAGAACACACAGAATCGGGCTGCACACGACAACAGCACCGAGGGCTAGGACAGTGTCCGTACTCATTTTGACTTTAAAGCTTTCTGAAGTAAATGTGGCCTAATATTAAACTTAACAAGGCAGTTGCTGAGCATATTATATAAGAGGTGTCATGTTATTATCGAAAACTTTCCAAGCATCTGAAATACTTCATGGCCAACACGCGTTCAAATAACCAGCCAAGTCCTAGCGAGGTAGCCCCTGCGGGGAGCTGGGCCCTGGCCTGAGGTCTGAGCACCGAGGCCCAAGTGCTCTCCCACCAGCCCCGGGCGGGGAGGAACAGGGGCAGCTGGTGCCTCTCCCCCTCTCCCGACGCGGTGACAGAAGCCTCCTCTTTTATCAAAAATGTTTTTCATCTATTTTTGATGAAATCGGAGGATAAAATATACTTTTACCTCCTGAGAGCATGTTAATCGAATGCCTTGATAGTAGAGGAAACTTTCTGTCTCTGAGAGAAGCAGATACCGTTTGAGGTGTAAATTAGAGGAACTTGGAAAATTAGGAATCAGAAAATGTCAGCCTGGAGAAAGTGGAAGACAAGACTCACATGGGAAGGAAAGGACAGCAGAGCGGAGTGTGGGTGTCTTTACCCTGCCAGGGTCTCGGGGAGACAGCCAGCCCACAGAGACTACACCCACCTTCTCCCCTCACTTCCCACCGCCCAAAGGAGGCGTGAGGAGGGGACAGCCATTGAAGTCGAGGGTCCCTGTGGACAGAAACAATGGCCTCCCTGGGGGGATCTGCATGTACAGAGAACCCAGGTCCTCCCAAAAGTGTAAGTCACACTTAGTTGTCCCTCCCGGGTGGCCTGCGTGCCATGGGTCATGACCGTTCTCCTCTCCTTTCTGTCCTAGCCCATTTCCAGTGGCCGTCAGGGCGGGGAGCTTCGTTGCACTGCCCTGCTGAAAGCCTGCGGTGGCTTCAGCTGAAAGATGACTTCAAACTGCTCTGAGCTGTCCGTCCCTGCAGGGCTTCAGTCAGGGTCACGACTTGCCCTGTAGGTGGCGCCACAGAGATCGGTGGGATTAGCGTGTGACCACGACGAAGAAGCCTCCCTTCTCCAGTCAAATCCTGCCTCCCACCCTCCACGATGGTAGGCCATGGCTTGTCAGAGCAGTGCCCGTGGGCCGCCCTGCTCCGTGCCCCAGCGGGCCTACCTATGGGCGCTCCGGTGTCCACCTCCGTGCTGGTATGAGGTCTCTGTCCCCGCAGGAGCACCATGAGAATGCTCGTCTGCACACACAACATCCCGCCTGTTAATACAGTGAACCCTGCGTGTTCAAGGCCGTCTGTGGAAGAGAGGTGTCAAACCACCACCCCAGGAAAGGGGAGGAACTGACGCAGACATGGGGAACGAGGGAGAGAGACCACGTTTCTGGTGAACTCGACCAGAGGGGAGGAACGAGGGGAAGGTAACTCTGTGCGATGGTTCCTAGAGTGAGTGGGAACCCCCAGAGTGGGGCGTGAGTGTGAAGGGCGAGATGAGCTCCAAAGGCTGAATTCTTCGGAATGACAGAAAGGGGAACGAGAGATTCCAAGGGAAGAGGTGTGGATGGACAGGCTATCCCAGATGAGGCCGGGAAGCGTGCGCTGGGCAGGAAGCTGGCTTACTGCTATTGAAATAGTAATGGCAAAATTAGGCCACTAGGACCATAATCGACTCCAATAAAGCCTCAGTGAAGATCCCTTACAGGACCACAGAGAACCCATGAGAATTCGGAGTTCGACTCCACTCTGCTTCCACAGTATCTCAGCATACCCCGTTAGTCCCTCCTAAGTCCATCAGGCCTTGCGGGCCTGAGGGAGTTGCCCCCTTCAGGTTGGGCACACATAATCTCCCCCTGACATTTAAAAGACTGCAGACAGCCTCATGCATTAAATGGGTCTCCGGTGCCCCTACCCCCTTTAGTTCTGGTAGATGGTAGCAGTCGTGTAAGGATGAAGTTCAGAGATGATGGAAAACCTCAGGAGGCCAGAATAGGAAGTTATTTAGAAATTGAAATACCTGGGCCCAGCAGTTAGCATAGTGGTTACATCACTGGACTCCCCACGTGGCCCACCGCAGTTCGAGTCTCGGGCCTGGGGGCTTGAAAAATCCTGCGTGCTTGTACATGCGTGTGCAAGATCCTGGGAGGAGAATGAAGGAGAAAGGATTGCACACACACCCTATGGCAAAAACCTTTTTAAAAATGGGAAATAAATTGAAATATTTATATCAGAACTGGAACTGTCAGACCTCATTGGCTCAAAGTCCTGTACCGCAGTCTTCTCCAACCCCTGACTGCCAGCCTCTGTCCTCGGGCCTGTCTCTGAGTGCTATAGTGGGGCCCACCACCTCACAAGGAACCTACTCCACTGAAAACATCGCTTTCTTCCTGACTTTTTCTTCTGAAGCTGCAACCAACAGTCCCTCTTCCAGGCCAGACCTGGAACGCCCCCCCTCCCTCTGGGCCTCTGAAGCCTCCCTTCTCCAGTCAAATCCTGCACTGTCCTTTCAGCCGTGACCCACCGGCTCAGTGGAATGTGCCACGGTCTCATGTGAAGGGGAGTCCCCAGCCCTGACAAACCGATCACAGGAAGGCCTGACAGCCCCAGGAGCGTGGGTCTCGCTGCGGCCGTCAAAGGCTGGTTGACATCTTCAGCGCAGACGTGACGGCCCCATTCAGACACCACCGCGGAGGCAGGTGGAGAGGATGGACGGATGGGGAGACAGATTCATGTGTTCATGAAATAATACCTAGACGAGGAGTGGAAAACAGGCTTTATTGTACGTGACGTATGACCCTTGTCCTTTCGTCCTCCTTGATATAGCCGATGTTCTGTCTGCTTCTGCCGCCGCGTCCTTTCTTCTCCCTGGCTGGGAGAAAACGAACGAGTCTGAACGGGAAGAGACGGGGGGCAGCAGGCCCTGGAGTCAGGGCTCTTCCCCTTCGTCTCGGAGCTCAGAGCCTGCACAGTGTGTTCCTGGGCCGACTGCGGCGAAATGGAGACTAGGACTCCAGGTCTCCCACGCTGTCCCCTCTCCACAGTCCCCTTCTTCAAGAGTCTATGGCCACAGGCCTAGGTGAGATTCCAGCTCAGGCCGAAGGCTCCCCCAAACCTCTAGTCTACTGAGTCCCCGTGTTCTCTTAGACCACTCCCAGCCCTCTCAGGTTATGCTGAGTTCTCTCTGCCCAGAGGGACGGCAGAGTTTCCTCTGAGAGTCTTGAAGACACGCACAGAGATACTGAGAAAGCTCCCTGTCAAGACTCTCCACCTTCTCCCTTGAGAAATGGAGGTCAGCTCTCCCATCCTCCCAGGTTCTCCACGCCGGGTGCAGCTGCAGAGCCAGGGGTAGCCCAGCACCTCTGCAGCCCCTTCCTGAGATTCCTCTGGACCCTGGGGCCCAGGCTGGGACAACTGTGCAAGCCTCAGGCCTTACCTGTCCCGAGGGAAGTCCACACCGTCTTCTGGGGTCCTCTGGCCTGTGACTCTCAGTTGCTGTGGGGAGACCATAACAGAAAGACACTCTTAGTAACAAGAAAGGGGCTTTGTTGGCTCTTGAGTTCTCAGGGTGGAGCTGGAAAATGCTCAGGAGGGAGCTGGAAAACTCAGATGGACCCTGACTTCTGTCCCAACTATCAGATGGCTGGCCAAGAAGCAGGGGGCCTGTTCCCCTTTTCTCGTCCCCTGAGCTGGCAAAACCCAGACTCCCTGGCTGAGGCCTGAGCCTGGACTGGAATGACAGTCTGGCTCCCAGAAGGCCCGGCTCCCTCTCAGCCCCAGCCCCGACTCACTTCCTGTCCTTCGGGGCATGAAACACGCAGCCTGGGCACTGGCTCCAGGGCCTCCTCGGGCTGAGGTCTGCCCCCGCGGGCTGCTCTTCCCTCTTCTTCTCTTCTGGCTTCTCTTCCTCCTCCTCATGGTGGTGGTCGTCCTCCTCCTCATGGTGGTGGTCGTCCTCCTCCTCATGGTGGTGGTCGT